CTACGAAGGACCAGACTGCCAGCTCCAGAGCTCACTCCCTGCCACACCTCCAGGCCCCTGCGGTGCCGGGAAGCAGGGTAACTGGTGGACAGGGCCCCGGCCTCCTGGCAGTCGGTTCTGCAGTTCGGCTTGGAGCTTCCTCCCTTCCAGGCTCCTCTAGGGCCCCAGGAAGAACTTCAGCCAGAACTCGTCCTCACAGACCTGGAGGAGGCCGCAGGCCTGAAGCAAGGGAGGGAAACTGACCAAGCGACAGCACCCGCTTCTGGGTCAGCAACGGCAAGGGGGCTCGCTGACCACACCTGCAGCCTCTGAGGACCAAGTGGTGGAGCTGGCCCCACGGAAACTGAGGGGACGGTCTAGGGATCTACCTGGCAGTGCTGGAACAGCAGGGTTATGAAGAAAAACGAGGCAGCCCTGACAGGTTCGTTGTGGGGAGAAGGACCGGGTTTCTTAGACACGCACGGAGCCATCGCACGGCAGACCTGATGACTGGACAGACCCCGTCGGCAGGAACCGGACAACTATCAAGTGTAGCCACCGCCGGGACAGTCACGCAGGACCAGGTGTGAGGGCCGCTTTTATTGGAACCCTCAGGTCTCTCTTAAAAAACAGATTCCTGATTTTTTAACCAACCCGCTGAATGACTCTCTAGATAAACCAGAATCTGTTTCTTAACATTCCTGGGCAAGTCTAACAACCGCCCGGGTCACAACTGTTCCACGTGAACCAGTAAGTTTCCCTTCCTTCTAGAGTGAAACAGACCCCAACTACTTAGGGCATTTGTTTTTAATTTTAGAAGAATTTACAGACATAAATCTGGGGCTCAAGATACAGAAGCAAGGTGGTTTAACAAGTGAGAGCTGACTGGCACCGCCTTCAGCATCCCTGACACACGCCTGGAACAGATGCACACGCACCAGGTCCGCAAAGTGATGTGGCCCTGACTTTGGCTGGCTCTGCTCGGGTGGTCCAGCCCCCGGGCGCGGCCAGGTCCCAGACAGACGTCAAGGACAAAGCCGCAGACTCTGGGATAGCTTGTAGCACCTCGCTGACCGAGAGGCAAGGGACCTGACCCAGGCCGGCCGCTGCCAAGCTGGCAAAGGCCAGAGTCTGCCAGCACGCACCGCGGACACCTGGGGACACCTTCCAGGCAGAAGGCAGCTCCCGGGCCACGCTGTGACCACGAGAACCTGGTGTGTAAGAGCTGGTTCCTGGGTGGGCACAAGCTGGTGCTTAAAATCTGGCTCTCCCAGCACCTACCAGCTCCAGGTCTGAGAAAGACGTGCCCTGGCAGGAAGCGCCTGTCCTTGCCTGCTCCCACTCCTGCAGGATGGCCCCCAGGACCTCGGTTTACAGATGCTCCCACCCCCTCCTTCACCTTCCTGCTGCGAACCCTCAGAAAAATGACACAATCTTCCAAATGACGTCATCTTTGGTCGGCAAAGAGCTGAGGGCTCACCCGTCCCCCAGCGGCCCGTGATGCCCACCTCACCTCCTCCCAGCGCATCTCGGCTCCTCCGTCCACGCGCCCAGCCCTGAGGATCGATCAGGAGCCACTCCCTGCAAACGCATCCTACCTCCTGAAGCAGACTCATTCGGAGAGGGCTCACTCAGCACTCTATTTTTAAAAATGCAAATACGGTGGAAGAGACTGTAAAAATAACACGCCAGCGCCCTGATCCAAGGCCGACTCCTTCCGCAGGGCCAGGTTCTCACTGAAGTAGGGGTGGAGTGGGGACCAGGGGCCGGTCCTCCTATGGGTTCTGTCATACTTGTGAGCTGAGGGCAGAGAAGACTACAGACCCCAGCAGGCGGGCAGGCAGGCCAGGGACTCCCCCGAGAGGACGCAGGTGTGGAGGACGGCGTCGACAGATGGCAACGTCCCAAGGGCTCTGCTATGGTCTGGTCCTTCCTTTAAGGGCCAACCAAGCCACGGGAGGGTGAAGGCAAGCCTGCACGATGGTTCTGGGGTCTAAGCGCCAGGATCCGAGCGGCAGTTCTCGTGCCTCCCACCCGGGCCTCCTGAACGCTTCCGCGATTACGTGAGAGGTCACGCCCTCAGAGCAGTGCCCGCTGTCCTGCAAGGGCTCAGGCACAGGAGCTGTTAAGGGAACTCGGGGAGGGTGAGACAGGAGCGCCTGACAGTAACCTGGCTTTTCGGGCCTGAGCTCGTGCGCCTCTGCTCTATCAGGGCGGGCAGGCAGGGCTGTCCTGTAGAGAAGCCTGGGCTTTGACATTTACCATTTATTCATTATATGCTGCTCCCTGATCAACTGCTGGCCATCCCTCCACACACTCGTGTGACAAACAAACCAAACACCGACTGCGCTGGCCGGCACCGTTTCCGGCGTCTTGCCCACCCCTCCATGGGCTCTCCTTTCTCCTGGGTTTAGGTTCCTTTTTCCTCAAGTGCAGCTGAGGCCCGTGAGCGAATAAACTGTTTCTTCTTTCATGCCTTTTATTGCCATTTTAACTTTTTATTTTTAAATAATTATAGATTCGCAAGAAGTTGCAAATGGCTTTACTTTGTTCTCACTATTGAATGACGACTTACGCTGGTTCCTGAAACAACTGCTTTTCCTTGGCTGACGGCTCACCCCATCCTGGTCTGGCTTCTACTGTTACTACTTAGACATCTTAGACGAGATCGGGCGCGTTCAGGGTGGTATGGCCGTAGACTACTTAGACATCTTAGGAGCATGTCTTCTTCAGCTGCCTCTAAGATGCTGTTCTCCCTTTGGGAGCGCCATTAGGCCTGGGCGCTCTCACCCCAGCCTCCGCACT